TTGATTCTTCTTTGTCTTAGATCCACATATGTGTAAGCCATCTAACGTAGTCATGAGGATTGTAACCAAACAACTTAATTTTCGATTCTTCAAAAATAACTGAACATGTTTCTTATTGTTCGGCCAATCAAACAAAACCTATATAGAGATTATTGGGGGGAATTTTGTCAAAAAAAAAAAAAGCCAACGGGTCTTTATAACGGCCAGTCAAAGGGTTTGACTAACGGATTCAAGAAAAAAGTTAACGGCAGGGGGGTATTTGATGTTTTTCATACATCAGGGGGTAAACGATACATTTCTCATAGTATAGGGGTGCAAAATGAATTTTACCCAAATATATATTGTATACGCACGATGATAATATCTAAAGATATGGGGAAGTTATTTTATTTTTTCATGAAACCGTACAACCACGATGATAATAGAATTCTTAATTATCATATCTCCTTTTATAAAAGTAATTTTTTTTCACGAAACCTTAGATCCATTTTAATTGAATGTTAGTAGACCCAGGATTTTTTTTTTGTCTTTTTTTTTTTACTACACGATTTAAAAGAAAAAAAAGAAAAAGATAATAAAAAAAAAAAAATGTACCCGAGATAATAACTGAAAACACGATCCCCTCTTAACTTCTACACACGATCTGCTCTCAACTTCTATTGGTAACTTCTCTCATTCTTAAACTTGATTGACTGTTCTTCCGCAAGCCACAAAAGAATAAAGAATTGACGAATAGCTTTCTTTCCATCATTTGAAATGTTTTCAGTTAGTTCATTTTTTTCTTCTTCACTATCTTTTCAACGAATGATTTTTTTTTCCTTTTCAGTATTGATCCTCAATAAGATCCATTCATCAGCTAGATTACATGGTAAATTTTCCGCTATGAAGTGAAGGTGAAGAACGAAAAGACTTTATTTTTTTTAGAGTAATCAGTCAGACTCTTTTTCTTTGTCTTTCTTCCAATATTGTAATCATTTATAATAAGGGTTCAGATTCATGATTAATTATTGTTGATTATTATGAATTCCAAGGAGATTCCATGGCTGAAGTTGGTGCTGATATTTGATACGGAATCTTCTGCTCATAGACAATGGTTTGGTTGTTGCTTAATTAAATGTTTCTCACTCATGTTTTTTTTTTTGATTTTTTTTGATTTTTCAATCAAAAACTCTTTTTATTTCCTTCTCCACTCTAACCCCTCACCGATGGAGAACTTCAGCGAAAAACACATTTTTTTTTCGTCCTCTTCTTCCTCACCAAGATTTTTTGTAACGGTAGTCGTATTGTTTGGCAAATTGGTGATCCAACGTCTTCATGGAAAACCTCCATGGAATGTGTGATAGGTACAATATTAAAGTATTACTTCTATGGCATTTTTATGTTTGAATTTGAAGATTCATGGTATTCAAATAAGTGAGATAGCAATTAATAGATGTTTT